ATTGTTTTACGAGGTTGTCGGTCACTAAGTAAACTCTTTGCTTTTTCTGGTATTCAGATCTGTTAACACTTGACGATGGTCAGCCGACCGAGCTCTCGGAACCGTCTGCAACATAATAAATCTTTTCCGGCGCGTCATTTCTCTTCAACTTATCACTGGGAATCCTCAACCTGCCTAACCTGAATGTTTTCTTATTATTTTGCAGGTTCGAAAACGGCATCCACTGCCAACATGCATTCATGGCCTCACCCTCGGTGGTCCGTCAGCCGTTTCACAAGCAGTCAGTCAAGAGGGTGCGCCGGCAAGCCCTGCGCCCGTGAAGTTTACTACGGGTGATCCTGGTCCCGAGGATGAACAGGTTACCCTGTTGAGAACGCGTAGCGAACTCTACAGTTTCACGGTCTACCTTGTACACCTGTTGAATTTCTGGCAGGGGCTTCTGCAGCAATTCAAATGGTACTTCTTCCGTTTTCTGCATTCTGTCTTGCTATTTCCTTTAGCACTTCTCTTATCTAGGATGATGTAGAAAAGGGAGTTAATATTTCCCTTGCGAGTGTGTTAAACGAAGGCCTATTACTGTGTCCAGTTACCCTTTTTACGGAAGGCAGCGGATCTGGCTGACAACCTTCCATCCTCTACCAATCGGGTTTGCCTAAACTGACACCCCTGTCTACCCAACATTTAAATGAGCGCGACGGATGACCAAACCATCTTAGATGGTTGGCGAGTAGGACATTGTTCAGGACTTGAGTCCCTAACCGGCTTTCTTGTGTCCGTTGGAGACGCTGCCGTAAAACCAAACTCAGGTAATGGAATGCAAGCACAATCGGTCGAATAAGTCCAGACGGTGTTGATTAAATTGTCGATGTCCTCGTAACCCTGCTTGTTTTTCAGAAAGTTCCGATCCATGGTAAACGGACCTTTAGTTATTTTAATCCCGAGTTGTTGTGCTATCACGTTTTAAAACCGATCATTTTTTGCTTTCCGTTCCCCAGTGTGCTGAACACCTGCAATGTGGAATTATTCACTAAGCTTGTTACCCTCTACAACGACCTGTCTTCCGGGCACGAGCAAAGCCTGGACCGCCTGCTCGACCTTTGCAAGCGTGACCAACTGGATGAGGCAGTTTCCCTCGAGGGCATCCTCTCTTCAATTCAGTACTTTGTCAACATACACACAGTCCAACTCACACCGGCCATGCAGTCGCCTGCCGTCATGGACAGCTCTCTCATCATGTCCAACTACGCTCGTATTCTTTTGGCTGGCGCTGATTCCCTTACCGTTGGTGCTTCCTGCATTGCCGTTTTAACTAGTCAGGTATGTCTTAACTCACACTGTTTTAGTTTGTTCTTGTTGCGTAAAGCTCTTCGTCAGATGCGGTCACGGGAAAAGCAAGTGTATTGGGCTTGAACTTTAGGACTTCTTACGGGTGCTCCTCTTTAGAAACGGTGAAGGAACGACTTTTTCAGCCATTCTTATGCCAAGCAGCACGATGACCCAGCAGGAGAGCAAACAGGCCAATCAGAGACGCAATCGTTTTCACAAGATGCTACTCGCATCTCGGAATACGACCATGTGTTGAAATTTTAGGGCACACAGATAACGCGAGTTGAGGCCGTCAAACAAGGCGAGAGCTGCCGTAGGTCTGGCGATAAGGATGGCTTGTATGGCCACCTAAACAGAACACGGGTATATGACTGCCCTGCCAATTTAAATTAGGTAGCCTTACGCTAAATTTCAGGAAGGGCTAGTATTCCCCTATATTGACCCTTACACTAACCCTAAAATAAAATAAACTATAACCTTAATTATAACTCTAGTTCTACCCCAGACATAAATCGTAAAATTAGCATGGACCTATACCTTAACCCTAAGCATTGATCTGAACGGTAACTGTTTATACTGTTGGCTTTTCTCATTGCAGTGCTAGTTTCATCACCTGAGTAGAAGCACCCGAGGTCAGTAGCTATGTCAAAAACATTCGGGATAATTGGGATATTCTCTATGTGTCAAAAGACAGTCGGAAGAACTCGGTGGTGTGTGTGTGGTTATACAGAAATAAACCATAAGATTAACAGTGTCCGATAGGTAGAAAAATGCAAAGTAGAAAGCAAAAGGAGGGTGGACGCACATTGGAGGTGCTTAGAAGAGCAGTCGTGTGAATGATTTAGACACGTTGCTGCCAGTTTATGATGGTACAAGCCCTAGAAAAGGGCTAGGGGCCATAGTATTCGTCGTTACTCGTCGGCCGAGTAAGCTGCAGATTGACAGCGTGAGATATGCACGACACAGTCATACCAAGCCGAGCCCTCCATAGCTTTCAAAGCTTCAGTAGGACAAATTAACCATCACCTGTCTGGATTGTTACTCATCTTACATCTTCGACTTTCCCTTCCAAGGATTGTGATATTGCGCATCCAAGTGTCCAGAGTGAACCGGAGAATCTTGGAACCCTGTTAAAAGGAAAATTTTAAGGGACCCCTTTGTGGGAACCAGTTTGGAATCCCACTCGCCTTTTCTTCCCCAGTTTGTCGAGCTCTCCCTTGTTGCTCCGCCCTCCTGGTGGGGCATCTATT